TGCTTCCAGAATCAGCTCTTGGTGCCCAATGCTCCTTACCCCCAAGGCATCTAAACGCTGGGGGGACAAAGCCAGCAGATCATGCCCAGTCACATCCCACTCCTGGAATGGATAATGCTGTACTGAGGAGTGCAAACCTGAGAAAGACACATAAGGGACATCAGGTCATTTGAAAATATTTGGTATGGCATTCCACTGAATAGTTTAAATTGCCAAAAAATGACTATATGGTGGTGGATCAGAGGCATAAAAATATGTGATTTCATACACAATGGTAGGCATTTATGTGAGTGAATAAAATCTTCAGATTAAAATAATTGTGAGTTTCTACAAATCTAAAACCTTAAGGGTGGGGAAATGACAGGGTGGTTTTTGTTTTCAATAGGGAATGTTTACACTAAAGACTGTACATAGACATTTATTGGAGTCTAGTCAAGACATTTCACGATTATGGATATCTCCGGATTTCAATACTGATGCCACTACTACCTTGTTTGTCTAATATAAGGTTAGTCCTTCTCCAAATTACACTCAACACATCTTCTGTCCCCATCCTCTCTGATCGTCAGTTCTTTTTCCCAACTTTAACAACTATTTTATGGATCTTTAAAATTAACAAAGGGATCATTCTACGGAACTAAAAACTCTGTACATAATGTGTTACGTCATTCTCACCCCTCAGGTAGCTGCATACGGTCTCTGGGGTCCAGGTAGTCACAGGCTCCATCTGGACACTTCCTGTCCCTTTACCTTGGTGACGTCATGCAGGTAAGCCCGTTCACTGCGTCCTCCTACTGGGTACAGGAAGGAAGTGGGACTAAGCTCCACCTGTATACATGCGGTATGTGTAGTTTGGTGAATGCCTGCTACTTCTGGAACTAGAATGTGTGAGTGGCTGTTCTCCCTGATTGCATGAAGTTACGTAGTATCGTGAAAACCATGCAACATTGTTTCCAAATCACTGTCGTTATAGCAAGTTTATCTGTGTGTATGACATTTTTATTTTTTAACCCTAAAACAACTAAAACGCACTTTTTCATTATCTCTGCTGCTTTACAGGTTTGCAGCTGCAGTAGGCTCGATGAGGTTGAGTGTGGTATTTTAAGATCTTGGAATGTTTTTGTTTTTTCTTTCTGTTTATATTTCGATCTTGCCTGGTGGATCTTCCAGTTATCTTAATTTAAAACTGCTCATGTATTTGGTTATATTTATTAGCCAGGTTTTTAGATTAATTTATAACAGGATCCTATTTTTTTCACTTGCCTGTAGTCCTGTAATATCATTTCACATTTTGCAGATATGTTAAAATAAAAATAAGTGGCCAAATTAAACCCACGAATGCAAGGCTAAGCCAAAGGCGGAGCCTGTAGTTGTAGGATAGGTTACCTGGCCTTTAAGCACTCAGGGCACCCCTTCCTCTGCACCGACTCCGTCTTGTTTAGACTAGTTCCGGTTCCCTTCCCTGTAGGCATCTGCTTCCACGACCGCCATTCTATACATGTCTCTGGCATTCACTTAAAGACTCCCTTCGGGCTTTGCTAGTACTCCACCGGGATTTCAATATCCACCTGTTCCGCGCAGGTCTTTTGGCTCGCCGTCCTCACTTCCCAGGTATTACGCATGGCTGCGAATCGTGAGCCTAAGCCCTATGGGGCCTTCTACACACTGCTTCATTTATTCCATTCGGCCATTACTGTGCATATCGGTCCGCATTTGACTACATTTCGTCCCCGTTAGGCCGCACGTTTCTTTGTTTTGATGACATGTTCAATTTAATCAGAACTATGCTGCTGGCAGGCATTGCGATCTCTATTTAAAAACATGTGTTCCTAGTACACCTAACGCTTATTTATGGACGTATTATTATTGCCAGTTATATAGCGCCAACAGATTCCATAGCGCTTTACAATATTATTAGAGGGGGGATTTAACAAATAAATAGGACAATTACAAGAAAACTTACAGGAACGATTGGTTGAAGAGGGCCCTGCTTAAACGTACGAATGCAGCATCATTGGTCACGTACTGCCAGTTCTCCTTCCTAGCCCAACTCAGGGTAATATGTTTGTTAACGCAGGTAGTCCTACATACAACTAAACATTAAGCCCTACACTACAGATAACCACTTACATTAACTGTATTAGGACATGCATGTGTGTATTTATAGATCAGAGCCGGGAATACATGCATTCACACACCATGTTCATTTACATATCATTTTTCTATTCAATGCAACTTAAGAGAGCACTGCTCCTGTGATTAAGTCGGTCATTTTCTCTTGGGTACACAATGACAATCTGTGAGTGCCAGAGCTGTGCTGTGCAGGGGACTGATAGCCACCCTCTGGCTTTGATATCATCTAAACGAAGAATGAGCTTGACAGTAAACTTTTGAAAACGAGGCACATACATCACCAGTTCTGAAATTAACTGAATAGATATCTGAGAATATCCGATTGCAAAAAATAAAAGAAGGGGTATACTCACAATGATGCTGCATTTGTACGTTTAATGGATATTGCTCAATAAAAAAAAGGCATTGGTGGTATGATCCCAACCAAGAATATCACTTGCTGAGTCCTCCACTTGTAGATAAAAAATGGTTCAAATATTGAAATGTAAAAGGATAGGCACTGAGGCTCCAAATAGCGTAAATTGGTTATCTTTATTGGAGACAAATAAAATAAATTGTAGCATAAATCCTGTTTAAATACCAAATACAATTAGTGACATGATTGATCATGTGATAAACATACAAATTAAAAACAAAGGATAATACAATAGAAGTGGAAATGGGACATAAAATAGGTATGACTAAAAAAAACTATTTAAATAAAGAGTAAGATAGTTTTGAGAAGGGGGCATCAATATGACCGCCAGAATATGATAATTGGGGACACTAATATGGCTGCCGCCAGCTTTAGGAATAATTTAGGGAAATGGACCTGATTTAAGTGTTTAGGTCTGTTGTAGGTGGGGGAGTAGAAGGGATACTTCCCCACCAAAAACTAGTGTATTTGGGGACTTTGCATCCCAAAATGGCAGCCGCGACCTGAACCACATGACCGGCTCGGGTTGTGTCACCATGGAGACCGCAGCTACTTGGTCTCAGGCCATAGAGAGGAGGGAAGGTGGGCGTGACTCATGTCACATGACCGGCTGGGTCACGTCGCCATGGCAACTAAAATCTATTTGGTCTCCTGACTTAGAGGAGACAGGGGAAGTAGGTGACAGGGGGAGTGGCTCCAGCTGGCTAGCTGACTGGAGGGGTGAGTGACTGGAGCCTTCATCCATCCTCCTGCCGCTCAGGCTCAGACTGCCTGACTGACAGGTGTGGGGAGTGTGCCAGGCTGTCTCCCACCCCATGGAATCATGGGGAATGTAGTGCTGGAGGGCACAGCCCTACCAAAGTAGGAATAGGTAATTTTAAAAGGTGTATATATCCCTTGTAAAATAAATAATTATAGATACAGTATATAAGATCTATGTAAAAGCATCCAATGAAATAGTATGAAAAACCACATCAAGTAGGATAAAACAAGACAAGATAAAAAGTAAATATACAAATAAATATGGGAATGTAAATAAAATAAAAGCAAAAAATAAAAACACTGGGATATAATACAATAAAAGGACATCTTATAAAAGTCTATAAGATAAATACAATATACATGAGTCTCCAAAAATTAAAAAAATATATCTAAATCTACATTTAACCCTTGAGGAGTCAAAGTGCTGAGTGTGAATATCAAGTGTGATGGACTGCCTGGAACCCCGACCAGGTGCCTCTGTCAGTTGATGCTCCTAGTGCTCACCGAGGACTCCAAGCACTCCACCCGACACCATCAGCACTGTAGTCCCCATGTCCAGCGTTACAGCTTGGCTGGGAACTCACCGTCCTCCACCCACCCTGGGCCCAAGACCAGGATCCAGCTTCCAGTGGGTGAACTTCTCCTACGCCAGAGAGCGTAGCAGGAACAGCTCTTAAAAGAACTAGTGATTATAATCCCAGGGGAGTATAGAGATATAGCAATCCCCAGGGTAGATACAGCCGTTTCCCCCACACATGAGATGAGACTCTATGTTGAGGTTAAACAGGAACTCAGTTTTAATGTTGCCACACTGGCCTTTTATGACAGTCCCCACGCAAGGGGTATCCCCACATGGACCTTGTTGGGGACAGGGACACAAACTTACAAACCAATAATAAGAGTTACAATGTATGACACTCCCACATACAATACAATAAGCCTTCCCCTTTACTTAAGAGATAATTGAGTCAAGCACTATACTAAACTCAATTATCTCCAAACACAAAAAACAAACATTTTTACGAACCCCCCAAAATACCTATATCTATTCGTGGTTTTGGTCCATGCGAACAAGATGGCCACCACCACGTGTTCTAATGCCATTTCGAATGGCTTTGGGAGTTCAGGAGTTCGAAGTTCCACTTTAAAAGTTTGAATTGTTCTTGTTACAAGTCCCAACAGGCACAAATAGTGTTTTCAAATAGGGTTTAACACAGGGGCCATAAGGCTGGAATGGGCTACAAGACTATTGCCATGCAGCTTGGTAAGAAGAAGACAACAATTGGTGCGATTATTCGCAAATGGAAGAAACACAAAATAACTGTCAGTCTCCCTCGGTCTGGTGCTCCATGCAAGATCTAACCTTGCTTCTTTCCAATGATCATGAGAATGGTGAGGAATGAGCCCAGAACTACTCAGGAGGATTTTGTTTATGATCTCAAAGCAGCTGGGACCATAGTCACCAAGAAAACAATTGGTAAAACATGAAGGACTGAATTTCTACAGTTCCCGCAAGGTCCTCCTGCTCAAGAAAGCACATGTACAGGCCCATCTGAGGTTTGCCAATGAACACCTGAATGATTCGGAGGAGAACTTGGTGAAATTGTTGTGGTCAGATGAGACCAAAATCGAGCTCTTTGGCATCAACTCAACTTGCTGTGTTTGGAGGAGGAGGAATGCTGCCTATGACCCCAAGAACACCATCTCCACCGCCAAACATGGAGGTGTAAACATTATGCTTTGGGGATGTTGTTCTGCTAAGAGGACAGGACAACTGCACTGCATCAAAGGGACAATGGACGGGGCCATGTACCGTCAAATCTTGGGTGTGAACCTCCTTCTCTCAGCCAGGGCATTGAAAATGGGTAGTGGATGGGTATTCCAGCATGATAATGATCCAAAACACAAAGCCACGTCAACAAAGGAGTGGCTCAAGAAGAAGCACATTAAGGTCCTGGAGTGGCTTAACCAGTCTCCAGACCTTAATCCCATAGAAAATATGTGGAGGGAGCTGAAGGTTTGAGTTGCCAAATGTCAGCCTCGAAACCTTAATGACTTGGAGAGGATCTGCAAAAAGGAGTGGGACAAAATCCCTCCTGAGATGTGTGCATACCTGGTGGCCAACTACAAGAAATGTCTGCCAACAAGGCTTTTGCCACCAAGAACTAAGTCGAAGGGGTCAAATACTTATTTCACTCGTTGGCATGCAAATCAATTTATAACTTTTTTTGACATGCATTTTTCTGGATTATTTATTATTGTTTTTTTTTGTTATTCTGTATCTCACTGTTAAAATACACTTTTCGTTAAAATTATAGATGGATCATTTCTTTGTCAGTGGGCAAACATTCAAAATCAACAGGGGATCAAATGCTTTTTTTCCCTCACTGTATGTATGTGTGTGCATGTATATGTGTATATATATGTGTGTGTGTATTTACAAGGCCAAAGGCCTGTATTTGTGTGAGGAGTTTGAATTTATCTAACCTATAAAAACCCCAATCACCCTCTTACCTGGGCTATTCCCTTCAGCTCTTCATACCAAAAATGTTCCTGGACTCACCTTGTTCCAGTGTTGCTTCCTTCCTCGACCGCCCTCCATACCGCCAGCTGCCTGCATCCGCTTCAGAGCCTAGCTGCAGGTCGCTTCCTGAAACCAGTATTGTAGGTTTCTGCAGGTAATGAAAGGCGTTTTCTCATGTGCCCGCTGCTGGTGCTTCTCGGCTTCTCGGCCCGCTGCTGGTGCTTCTCGCAGTTTTTTCTATTTAACGAATGGATGTTCGACTCCACTATATGAGCATTCCTGCCTTACTGTCTTTCGCTGGACTCAGGCTTCCATAAAAATTGTTCGCTGCCCCGACATTTGTACAGCCGAACATTTGCATAGTTATTTCTCTTATTCCAAAACTTGTTATAGTTTTTTGCCACTTTGCCTTTGGTTAGTCACCCCTTGCATTCGAGCACTTAGCCCTGTTATTGGCATTCACATGTGTTAAACTTATTTGGGTTTATCTGCCTTGTTCGGTTCTTTACAGTTCTCCTTGGAATTCGAGTTTTGAGCAAAACTGTATGCAAATATTTTTCACCATATACGCTTAATACCTTTGAAATTCTGGGATCAGTTTAATATTGTAGGTCAAATAGGTCTTTTATTATACTTTGATTTCATTTTCATAGAGTTATTACTAATGTTCTAAAGTATTGGTATTATGGTATAGAGGTTCTTACTTTATCTACCTTTTTCACAGTGTTTGCAACATTCTGTTTACATACACTACCCACTCTGGAGTCATTTTGATTTTTGTCTAGAACTTAAACAGCTATTCACTTTTGAGGAGGAGTGGTGACTCCATGTCAATCACCCACTCCTCCCACACGCCGGATCAGCTGGAGGGACTTTTCTCTGATTGCTCAGGTATTTAACCGGCTTCAATAGGAACTGCATTTGCAATAGCTCCTGACGACGGCGTGTATGCACGCTGAAACGCGTGTCGAGCGCCTTATTTGATTTATCTTTTTTCTCTCACATTAGGTAGCACTTAGGTAGTTAGTATGTTTGATTTAGTTAGTATAGTTAGCAATTTATTATTTGGCATTTAGAGTTTTTTCTAGGCAGGCATTTTTTGGTCCTGGGGGGGCTCCTCTGGACTTAGGGCGTGTCCTTAGTGGGTCTGCCCCTGTCCTCCTTTGCTCTCTTTTCTCCTATTCATGTTTGTATAGTCTCCTGTGTGCCTGCCTTTATCTTAGTGGGGTGATTTATGTATTACACATATTTTGTGTTGCCTTATTGTATTTTTGCAGCTTAGGTGTCCTAATTTTGGACATTTTTTCTAGTATGAATGCTAGAGTCTCTCTTTTTTTTGTGTTAAAGGGACATTCCTTTGCTGCTATTAAATACAACTAGCAGTGGCTTATATAGGGTATATATGGGTATTTCTATTTATTCCCCTTCACCTTTTATCCACTTACAAGTACAGCCCCCTGTTCTTCTCTACTTGCCACCTGGTAACTACACTATTTATTCTGTTAAGTTCAGCAGCTACTTCTGGGATCCCCTTGTTTCAAGGGTCTCTGTCATTCAAATATGATGTATTATACTGCCATAGCACACATAAGGTTTGCAAAATATATATTACAAACTCGTGTGTGTGTGTGTCAAAAAGGCATAAAAAATGCTTATTACCACTACACTTGGTACAAGCTAGCAGAAAATGTATTTCACGCTAAGGTTAAAAATATGTCTTTTTAAATACCCTTGGGTGTCTTCTTTAAGAAATGGTATGCCTTTGTGGGGTAGTTGGAATAAACAGAGGATAACAGAAAAAGGGCTGCGCTAAGTAAATGAACTGTAAAAATAAAAATACAGTATTGGGTGTCTGGGATCTCACTAAAACAGTGGGGTAGGGGTTCTGATAGAATCACATAAGAGAGATAAATGCCTATTAAAGTGCCAGTTTTGGGTGTAGTGTCCTCAACAACAGAAAGCGAGGAAAACCAATGGTACAATATGTCCAAGTTCTTATGAATAAAATAAACAGATAAGTGCAGTGTTCAACACTCAGGAGAAGGGTATATAAAAACAGCTAATAGTGCTCTCTGTAAATTAAGAAATGCAATGAAACATAGAATAAAAAGGGTACTCACAAGTAAAGTGCAGGCCAACTACACTTAGATATCAGAGTTGGTGGTATGATCCACACCTAGGCATGCAATGAGGGAATCGTTGTACAAAATATATATATTTTTTGTACAGGGATAGCACACACAAGCTTTATGAAATACACATTACAAAAACCTTGTTATATGTGTATATGCCAACATAAAAAAACACAATTTTATTAAGACACGGAGGCTCCTATTATGCTGCACTCTTTCTTTATTTCCCTCAGCAGCAAAGAAAAAATTTGAAAACATAACCAGTACATAACATTAACAGTCTGAGAGCAGTATCTCCTTAGCAACGGTAACAGCCAATCAGGTTCTTCTCCCCAGCATAATAGGTTCTGTCAACCAATCCTATTCCTCTTTCTTTGCTGCTCCCTCAGTTAAGTAACATCAGGTCCCCACGGTTCCTTAACTGTGGGGATCATATTTTGTATTATCAAATTTTGTATTACTATAATTCATTATTGTACCTTTAATACTTTACTGATTAATATTGTCTATGTACTAATGCCTGTGAGATTTATGTATCTCTTTAATTGATTCCCCTGTCATATACAGTTTTTCTCCTTATACTTTCATTTTTGTGTGCATATTTGTTGTTACTTTCTACTATCCTCTGGATCCTAATTCCTACACTGCCAACCTGAGCCCAATCTTTATTGATCGGGCGCAGGGAAGTTGGGCGGAATATTGGTGTCCTGTCAGCGTTTCTGCTCGCCATTTGAGCCTGTCAGATCCGACCGTCCTCCACTCTGTTTTTAACTGAATAACTTAGTATTATACAACGGCATTCGTGTATTTACTTACGCGTTCGGTAGTTTAACCGCACAGTTATATCTAGCCTCACCTTTCACGGCAATCATTTACACGAACACTGCCTTGTTTGTGATTTTAACTGCGCGCGGCGGCCATTTTATTGGATTTCCGCGCTCTGAAGCTGATAACGACCCCAACGGCCGGAACTCGGAGTTGGAGTTTAGCATTAGTGGCGGTCGGACGGCTCACTGTGTCTCCGGTTGATTTTATTTTTGTATTCATTTATATTGTGAGTACCTGTTTGTACCCTGATTTTCCCCTCCTTTTCCTTGGGGTTAATCAACCCTCATTTCTAGGTTATTTTATTCCTCTAGGTTTATCTATTTAATCTATTCTGTTTAAACCTGTCAGTTTTCTCAGCATAATCATTAAGCCTACTGACAAGGATAATCAAAATCCCTCTGGGTCTCATGTCCCCATTCAAGGGAGTTCAAATACACCCCCAGCTGAATTTAATACCACTGCTGATATGCAGACGTTATTTGACAGAACTATGTCACAAGCTATGACAAGTCTTTACTTCAGCTATGGGTCTTATGTCTGATTCACTGTCACAGACACTGACACATGCCCTCATGCAGACACAGAAATCAGCTCAAACAGCCACTACCCAGGCCCCTATACAGCCTCAGGCTGGCCGCAAGGCATTGACCAAATCAAAACACTCCTCTCTATCTCAGATGGACAGCTATGCACCTGTCACAGATGGCGCGACTATTCCACCACCGCGCAAAAGAGCCACTAGCCGGGCAAAATCAGCTAGGTTATGGAAGAGGGCAAAAGCCCAACTAGACTCTGAGTCGGATCTCAGTGATATTGAGGAGGAGACTTATCAGGATTCTGAAGATCCCTTGGATCTAGAATCAGATAGACTGGCTGAAGGTTACGACCCTGACCGAGAGCACACTGCATCTCAAGCCGATGTATATCAGGTGGACCAAAAAACCCCAGGGGACACGGATACGATCCTGGACCCCCACGGGGAGCCCCTGTTTGACCCTGTTGATCTGCGCCACACACGATCAGCGGAATGGTCACCCTCGGACCATGTGGCGAGATATATTGCATCTAGAGTGCGCAAGCCTCTGGATAAGGCGACACGCAATAAACTCCGGGCAGAATGCCCACGACCCACGGTCCCTGATGATGCTTGCAGAACACCTGCAGTAGACCCAAAAATTATACAATTCCTGAGTAAAACAGGTTGGAAGCCTAACAAAGGCTTGGATTTTTCCCTGCGCAATTGCCAGGATAAAGTGTTAGACATACTTGGTCCAGCAACCAAGATTTTTGAGATGGTTGAAGACGACCAGGAGTTGGACCGAGCCACCATCAGCGGGTGGATCCAAAGACTGATTTGCTTAATTGGCAATGCCAACACTGCGATGGCTACGGAGCGTTGCAAATCAATATTGCTTAAAATTGAACCAAAATTAATTAATATGGCTATGAATGAACCGGGCACCCAAGCCAAAGGTCTCCT